ACTTTAATTAGTTATACTCTCTGAACAAAATGAACTGCATCACAATCCACAACACGTATTAAACTATGCACAGCAAAATTCCAGGTTAATTTTTAATGACAGAAATGTATTTTTTCTTACTTTTTTTAAAAAATTTGCTATCTGTTCCTTACCCAACAGACGGGGCAATTTGGGACAGCCAGAAGGGCAAACAGATCCAACGACTTTTTTAAAGGAATTTTACGAAATAATAATAATAGTAAATAGCCTAATATAATTTGCATGGGTACATTTTTTTACGAAGATAACACGGTATATAACCTTGATCTAATATTTGTCAAAAATGTTTACCAGCAGAGTTGGAATAACTATTTATCTCTTATTATTTTAATTTATCTCTTGTGAAATTACTTTTTAACCTTATTTACTATTTTTTTATTGTTCACACCTTTGCCAGGATAGAGGCCCAATGGTCCTTTTTACCCCACCCATATGTAAAAGCTTTTATAGTGGCTATACAAAAAAAACTGATGAGTCTAACTTTAAAATAAAAATACATAATATAAAACTAACGTATCCTTAAAAATTATATTGAAGTCGCGTAAAAGAAACAACTGTGCTCGCAACAAAAAAAAAATAACAACAAACGAAAATACATTTGTTAAGGATTTTTAAACATTGCCATCTCTTGATAGCAACATCGTAAGAATCAAGGTGGTGGCTGGTTTTACATCTTTTGCCCATACTTTCAAATATTGTTGTTGAACAATTCTTACTTTTACTTGTTTTTGGAATATTGTGGTGAACATTTTTACCTGTTTAAACGCCCGCACTATCCTAAAGATATTTTGTTTAAATTCTGAGATCGTGGATCAATATTTGCATCAATAAATTAATTCGTATAATGATGATATTTAGCTACAAACTGTATGTCTAGACTTATATTAGATCCGCAAGCTTAAGTAATGTATACAATGATTTAAAATAGAATAACATAGCACGGACTAATATTATAAAGTTAACCATGATCGGAAAATCTTCCTGATATAGTTGAATTATCGTCCTTCGTCCGTCGGCCGATAGGTTGATCGTCGACGTAATAATGTGATCAAATCAAAGCTGCGAACTTTTTCTGGATTCGTCTGAACGTAATATGTTTCAACATTTCGTATTTCGATATCTTTATATTAAATTCTCTTCGTTTTGTATTCGATTTATGTGAAGACGATGTTAGACGAAACATAAGAGAAAATCGGATATCATGTTTCGATTTCATTATTTTGTCTGGATTCCTGAAGGCCTATGAACTTATGCCTTATTTACACACACATATATATATATACATATATATGTGTGTGTATGTGTATGTGTGTGTCTGCATGTGTATGTGATCCGAAATTTAAGATTTAATCGACGTTTTCATAACAACGGCAAAAAAATTATTCGAAATGTGATGGTTTGGTAATGGCTGATTAGTTTTTGGTAAAGATCGGCCAAACCGTTTCTTCACAATTGACTGCTATGCGCATTTATTCAATGTTTTAGCTGTTTGTGTAATTATCGGTGGAATTTTAATTTTTGTATTATTAAATTTGTTTGAAATTGTAAATTTAGACAAATGTTTAAACATTATTAACTTCCCGTAGGGCAAGTTATAGTAATCGCAAAAAAATCGAAAATGAAAATTTTTATATATCTTTACGTTTCACAGGCTTCTGAATATTTTGGCATACCTTAGAAAAAATGGATGTATGTGTGTGTGTGTATGTGTGTGCGTGTGTGTGCGGATACAAATTTTCATCGACGATTTCGGGAACACGCATCAACCGATTTGAATAATTCAAACAACATTCGATTCGTATTGATAAGGATACGTGCTGATTAGTTTTTGGCAAAGGCAGGTCTAGCCGTTCCGAAGATACGGAGCAAAAAGTGCCAAAAACGGTAGCAGGATAGAAGGGGGCACAAAGGTCAAATTTGAGTTTGAGCAATTATATTGTGAAAACCAATTATATCACAACAAATAACATGTATCAAACAAGCAACTATCTGACTATGTTCAGTAAAACTCTCAGCTAATTCCTCATTATACACATGTGTTTTATACTATTCCCAAAAAAATTTCACCTGATCGTTTTTACCTCGTGGCGGGGTAAAATGACACGGCCACGAGATAAACAGGTCCATCACTGTTTATTTTTAATTATAAAGTGATTTTACAAAATAATTGCTACATTAAAACCAAAGCAAAAAATAAAGTATATTTTTCACAAAGATAATTCTGTTTATAACCTTGATCTGGTATTTCGTCAAAAAATCATCAGCGGAGTTGATATAAATATTTATTTAACTTATATTTTGTAAAATTGCTTTTTGTAACTTAATTTACTATTTTATATTGTTTACACCCTTGCCAAGGTAGAAATACAATTGGTCCTTTTCACCTCATCCACGTATAATCTATTACTAACAATGAGGCAAAAAAAACTGTTGAATCTAACTTAAAAATAACGATATATCTTGAAAAATATTTGAATAACATAGACTTAAAAATTATATAAAGATTTCGTAAACTAGTCAACAGTGCTCACAACCAAAAAAACTAACAACGAAAGAAAATACTTTTGTTAAGGATTTTCAAACATTGCCGTTTATCTCCCGATAGCAATGTCGTAAGAATCAAGGCTGGTTATACATCTGTTTCTCTCTACTTTCAAATATTGTTCTAAATTTTTTTTAAATTTACTTCTTTTAGAGATATCGGCGGTGAACCATTTTACCCGCGGACCTTTAAGCTTCGCTCTAACCTATATCATTACCATTTATAGTTTGATGCAAATTGCCTTAAGGCAAAGTTTGATGCAAATTGCACCTATTTATTTATTAGTTAACCGTTATTATTATTACGAAATCAACGTTCAAGTTTCCTAAAAATAATTCGTTCCGCCGTTTTTCGAAAATTGCTTCTGAACGTTCATTCTGCAACCACGTCCGATATCTTTACTCATAAAGTACGGGAAATATAATATGACGTCGCTTGAATTGTGAGTTATTATTATTACCGCATCTCCAAGGAGCGCCCCACGGCCGTCCCGACCGCCCGCCATACGGTAAGGAACTGTTGTGCAAAAACGATATTTCAAAATCATTTTATTTATCTGCGACTACCTCCTGCCGGTTTGCCAGATTCCTGAAGAAATTTGTACTAAATCGATATGTGATTTTTGATGGATGAATAAATGTACACGGAGAAATAAGGATACGTTGGAGTTGAAATTGAAGAATCAGAGGTGCATTGCCATTAGAAAATAATACACATGTTTGAAATGAACAGTTATTCAATTAAATTATAAAAAAATATATTATAAGTGTATCTCGCATTTTTTTTTTGATTTATTATTCATAGCAAGCTATACAAAGTACATTCAGATACATTTGTTACAGTTATATATTATTTGACGGCGTGGGAAGGATCGCTATCCAGCGATAGCGCCTTCATAGATGTTAAGTTATATTTTGTAGTAAATCATTGCATATTCTTCGGTATCTCGCATTTAAACAACATTTTATAAATAAACTAGTTGTGCATGGCATCGTGCCTTTAGGCAAATTGCTGAAACTTCCTGTACCATAATTGAATATTCGAGGAAAGACAATAATCAATAATTGTTTTAAATAGTTTTAAATACATACTGGAAATCGATAAGTGCTAATTAAATTGGGCGATGAGCGTATTCTACAAACAAATTATGTGTTTGTTTTCAGTTTTCAATTTTTTTAAGTTTGATTTTTTTGAAAATTTTGAAATATTTTCGTAATTTTGAAATTTTTAGAAGATCCAAATTTTTTGGAATTTTTGAAAAAAAAACAAAAATTCTTAAATATTTGGAAATTTTTGAAAATTCCTGATTTTTTTTGGAAATTTCGAAATATACTCAAAAAAATCGAAAATTTGAGTTTTTTAAAACAAAACAAGGAAAAGGTTATTTGAATTAATCTAAGCGGATGTTACGTTATCTCAAAAACTGCATGACCCTTTTTACACCCTTTGCGCTCCATACCTCCGAAACGGCAAGATGTTCCTTTTGCAAAAACGCCTCGCGATCGAGTACGAACCGAATGTTTTTTCAATAATACAAATCGATCCTGTCGAAAATACCAACATTTGTTTGAACCATATAAAAAACTTCAAAATTAAAAAACTTGGTACGAAACCCAAAAAAATAACACAAAATGTGTACACATTGTTAAAATATCTATAAAATATCTGAAAATTTGATGTGCATATGTCTAATGAATATTTTTGACCACCAAATGGCATTTTTTAAACTTTTTTTTATAGAGAGTTTGTAACCGCTGGATCTGCCTTTTTAAAAATTTAAACAGTTCTCCGTTTAGTCAATATAAATAAAATATTTTCTAAATTATTAAAATTGGACGCTCCGTTCTCTCAAAAACTGAATTACGGTTTTTAGCCCTCTTCGAAATTATTTAAAACAATTATTGATAATTTTTATTTCACGAATGTATAATTATGGTACGAGAAGTTCCAGCAATTTGCCTTAACACACGATGCCATGCACCCTAATAGTTTTATATGATTATTTGAGTTCTAACAGTATGGCGGACACCTAAAACGTCCATTTTTTGTTGATTGTAAAAATCTGCTTAACTAATTTAAAAAAATGAATCAATCATTTTTCTAAAACATGTTAATTAATACATAATAACACATAATAGTTTAAATTATGACAACAAAAAGCCTTTACACATCTACAGAGCCAAAAATCAATATCTTATGAAAGAAATTCAAACAATGAATAAAATAGGATTTTTTTAAAACAAATAATTGATTATTTTCAAAAACTAAATACAAAGTATTTGGCACATAAAACACATAATTTACATAAATTATCTGTATAGAATATAACAATATAAACATAGTTGTCATTAATTTACATTATGTTTCATATAAATATTTGTACTGAACATTAAAAAAAGAACATATAAAAACACTAGAATTATAATTCTTCGGGTACATGGGTATTTTGTGAATTTTTACCAAAATCTGTGTGTTTGCTTCCAACAAATTGTTCATGATTTTTAATAATATCTTCAAATGATAATGCATCGGCAAGGTTATCACCGGTACTAGCAAATAAATGATTCACTTCTTCTAAGGCAATTGCATCAATATTTGGAATGATCCAAGATAATATCTCATTATCAGCTAATACTCCATCACCATTTTTGTCATATTCTTTGTTGAATATTTTCTTTGTTATTGTGATCCATTCTTTATCATGACGATTAGCTTTCTGGCCAATAAATTCATCAAAATCTATAACATTGTCCGCATTTAAATCTTTATTGTTTAAAGTCTGTTTCAAAATAATCAGCGACATTTGTGCATATTCTTCGGGTTTGTTAAAGACCATGAACTCATTTAAATCAAGATTTCCATCCTTATTGGCATCAGCGGCATCATATATATCTTCATCATAAGCCATCAGTTTAAGTTCATCCATTACTGAATCGTTTGATGGTAATTGTTCAATAACTGTAGTATATGTCCCACTAACATATTCCTCCCAGGTCACTAGATTATCACCATTCAAATCGGAATCTAGAAAACTGTCAGCTCCTTCTTCCTCTGAGAGACTTTTGAATGACAGTAGAATCCAAGCTTTCAGTTCATTTTTCTGTATATGTGAATCGCCATTTGAATCGATTTCTACAAGCAAACTTGCTAACCGTTTCTTAGATTCTTCTGGAGTAAGGTGGTCAAATCAGCTTTTTTAGCGCTTCCTAATATAGCTTCATGATCAAATTCTGTATGATGTTGCCCATTTTCCATATAATGTTTATCTCGACGAGTATAAGCACCATCGCTAACTCTTACTTTTGTGATTGAATGGATGTGGGATCCTGTAGATGTTGGTCTTGATCTTGATCTTCACTATATTACATCAATGTTTCAACACACAAAAATTTATAATAATTAAAAAACTTAAATTGTAAAAAGTCATTTTCATCCAATCTTTGTTCTTTTTTGAAAAAACCTAAAATTTAATAAAAACACTTAAAATATAACAAATTTAACACTTATGAATAACAATTGTTTCAAATCTAGTATTTGTTCAATGAAAGGGAACACATTTAAACTAGGGTTTTAACTATACAAATATATTTCAATAACTTTGTAGGAAAAACTAAGATGAAGCACATTTGAGCAGTACTATAAGATAAAACTGATCAAATTTTAAAAAAGTTTTTCTATAAAATTTTTAATGTGTGTTTATGTATATATATGCTTTTGTACATATTAGTATGCATGCACATGTTCACTATTTTTATTTGATAGAGCAATTGCGTTACTAACACAAGCTTTTGTTGGCACGATACTTACAAAAATTTGAGATGGCAAACCGATCTTCACTATATTACATCAATGTTTCAACTTGAAATTTAAAGTAAATATTACGTTAAGTAAGTATTACGTTAAGTAAATATTACTTGCGAATTCGTTGTTTTGCTTTTTGCAAATATATTATAGAGCGATACTGATAAAACAAACAAACCAAAAACAAATGTCACTGAACTGTCATAAATGCTATAATGAACTTTGACATAGTGTAACATTCGACCTTTGAAGCAATTTTGGAGTGAAAATAGAATCAAAAATATGTCTGGTCTTTTTTATAAGAAAAAATTTAACAAAACGGTGAACCTTATAGTTGTACTTTAGATACAAATTAAGGTATACGAGTTCAAAAAAATATTTTGAAATGCAAAAATAAAATTAATAACTAATAACAATAAATAGCATGAAAAACTTACCCCGTTTTTACACTAAATGCAAATAAAGATATGTATATGTTATTTAACTTTATATTATGGTATAGTTTAATTCATAATCATACAAAATGTGAGATTCAAAACAAAATAACTACTAGATTTCAATATAGGTTATTCAAAAACAAAAACTGCTTAAAAAATCATGACTTTTAAACATAGATCTTATAATATATGTATAATTCGTATAGGATAGAGCGGGGTTTAAAGGTCCGTGGGTAAAAAGGTCCATCACCGATATCTTAAATATCAGTAATGTTAAGAATTTTTTAAAAACAATCTTTGAAAGTAGAGTGAAAAAATGTATAACCAGCCGTCACCTGGATTCTTACTATCTCGTTATCCAAAAGTTTCTTTTTCGTTGTTAGTTTTTGCGGTCATTAGCACTGGTGCTTAGTTTACGAAACTTTAATTTTTAAATATACGTTATTTAATTGTTTTATAAGATGTATTGTTAAATTAGATTCAACAGTTGTTTATATAACTTCTATATAAAAGCCTACACGGGTGGGGTAAGAAAGACCAACTTAAAATCTGTAACCAAATAAGAAATTTAAAAGTAAAATTTAGTAAAGTAAAATACATTTAAAAAGCATATTTACAAGTGATAAATTAAATAATTAATTATTCTGACTATGCTGATAAATATTTCTGACAAAATACTAGATCAATGTTATTAACTTCCCGTAGGGTAAGTTATAAGAACCGCAAAGAAATCGAAAATGAAAATTTTTGCATTTCTCGACGTTTCAAAGCCTTCTGAACATTTTGCCATACCTTAGAAAAAATTGATGTATATGTGTGTGTGTGTGCGTGTATGTGTGTGCGTGCGGATACAAATTTTCGTGTACGATTTCGGTAACACCAATCAACCGATTTGAATAATTCAAAAAACATTTTACTTGTATTAACAAGATGAAGAACTGATCAAATTTTCATGAAGCCAGGTCTAGCGGTTTCGGCGATCTAGTAAAAAAAGGAGAAAAAAATGCCATTTGGCGGCCAAAAATGATCATTAGACATATGCACATTAAATTATCAGACATTTTATAGAGATTTTAACAATACGTAGATATATATTATTTACATTCCTATGGGTTCCGTACCAATGTTTATCCGTTAGACGGCAACGCGGCGCTTACGCGCTTCGATATTTCGTCTCTATGCAGTTAAAGCAGTACGATTGCTTTGAAAAAAAAGTTCAGAATTTTCAAAATATTTCAAAATAAATTTTTCTATAAAAAGTCTTTTTTTTTCAAAAAAAAGTAAATTTTTGTCAAAAATTTATAGTTTCTCAAAAATATAATTTTCTCAGAGTAAATTTTTTTTAAAAATGTTAATCTTTTAAAAAAAAAATAATTTTTGGTACGGGAAGTTCCAGCAATTTGCCTTAAGGCACGATGTCATGCGCCCCACTAGTTTAAGATTCAAATTTCAATTTCCAATATTAGTATATTGGAACAAAACATATTTTCAAGACGTTTGTAAGCTGCAGGTACATGATACAACAATAATTACTGATTATGCGTTTATTACAATTTACCAATTACTATTATTATGTTGAAATAAACCGTTATTAAGAACAGTACGCATTATCTCTTCAATCGTATGTATAATAAGCAACAAATCTAAGATTTCAATCGTAAAATAAATAACAGAGCAAAAATACATATTAAAATATAATATTCACCATTAGACTTTCTGCTATAAAGTCTAATCTATCTCCAATCAAGAGTCAATATCTTCTTCAATTTTAAAATTTAATTATTACTACTGACACCAGAAGGTCTGCCAATATTAAACCGAATATCCGAACGATCTTGGGAAGTGTTACCGTAAAAACTATTGAAGCATTCTCTATTTTCCCATTCGGATATTTCACCGCCGGAATTAATAATGAAACTTTAATATCTCGGCAGATGGATTGCAGTATTAGAGAGTCGGAGTCGACGCGCGATAAGTAGTATCCGAGTATCCGTAAGACAGAAATGGAATAATCTTGTTCGACCCGCGCGACTTTTGAATGATTTCGTGACACGGAACAGGGCAGACCAAGAAATTTATTCATTTTTCAATCTATGTTTTAACTGAATTATAATTGAGGTGTGTACAATATATTAGCCTACTCTAAACTTCTCCCATGGTAAGTTATTGAAACCACAAAATATATTATTTGATATCTTTAATACAGAGCCATTGAATATTTGACATCCCATTTTGAGAATGGATATATGTTTGGCTATGCCTAAAGCCCAGTGGCGTCGGAACCAAATTTTTGATGGGTGGGCTCGTTTTTTTTTTGTTGATAGGCAGCCAGTGGGCTCGTTTTTTTAGAGATATTAGCCCATATAATTTTTTGAAATTGATGGGTGGGCTGAGCCCACACAGGCTCAAGCCCACACAGCCCACACGTTTCCGACGCCACTGCTAAAGCCTATTGCTTTTTAGTGTAGATAAAATTTTTCTGGTACCTCAAATATGTAAGCATACTAAATCTTTAATTGTTTTTAGAATATCTACATTCATTTTCTGCAGTAATATCTACATTCATTTTCTGCAGTAAAGTTGAAAGCAATTTCCAAAAGGTATAGCGGGTTGTTTTAGGTGTCGTTATAATTTTTATGTTTGTTAATATAGATTGATAACAATAATAAATATTTATTTGTATTTACACTACATGTTATGTTAGCAGAATACAAGTGATAAGTGATAGTATTTGACAATGGGTCTGGGTTATATATCTGGACCTTAACATCGTCGACGTATTCTATTGGCTATGATACCATAGGGTCGCTATACTTACAATTAGCGTTGCGTTCATGAGTTCAATTGTTTCACAGGATACAGCCGAGTGGAAAGTATTAATACTGTTCAAGTTTGTCTCATAATTCAATCGTATAAGTTTGTAAACAAGATTCAAAATATAAATAGATGCAGCATTTTGTCAAGAGATGTAGCATTTCGCCTTATTTTGGAAACCAGGAAATAATTAAGATGAATCGCCAGAATTCAAATCATGTTGATGAATTTTTAACAATTATTTTTGGCTTGAATAACATTGATATAATATCTGATACCTTGCAAATATACTTCGATTTTTTTAATCGATCTGAAGCTTTCTGAGAAAGCAAAAAAATATGTGTTAAACTCCTAATTTCTCAAGTTAAGAAGTTTGTTAAATGCTTATTGAAATTGAACCCAATAAAATATTTTTCAAATTAAAATACATAAATGTATTAACCAGGACATGACTCAATCGATCATCACAAAATAATAATGAAATCAAGTCCTTACTGTGTTTTATCTTTTTTTTTAAATGTTCAAGCAAACTTACGTGAACATCCATTTTCCAATTTCGATTTCCGACGATTCAGAACTATTTAAAACATGACATATCAAAACGGCTTTTCTGGCAGTAATAAACAACTTATTTGAAAAATAAAAGTAAAAATCTGGTAGATATTATCTTTCCTAAATACAACACAACTTTAAAAAGTCTAACAAAAAATTAGATTTCAAATGGAATTGTTCAAAATGAATATTTATTAACATTTAACCAGTTCTGTCCACAAAATGTCGCTCACAGCCGGCATGCATCGTGCGCACGCTGCCTAGTTCATATACCGACTTTGTGGTGACAATTCTGTCACGTGTAGTCGTCGTTAGGGTGAACACGTTCGTATCACGGCCGTCAAGTAATGGTGACGCTCGGTTGTGTTATTGCCCGTCAAGTATACTTTTCGCTCGTACCAGAGTGGTTAAAGACTACTTAATAACAAGGAAGGAAATTTCTTAACCATTCCTTAAAATATGATTAATTTTGTAAATCTTGTGATGGTAACTGAATCCCGGAATGTTAATTTTCGTCATCCCTGCCCGTATCGACGGTCCTCCACCTCCGTCGGCGACAAAGCCAACCCGTCGCTAAGCCTCGGGGATTAGAGCGATATACTTCGGCAGTTCGGTAACTCCGCCGCCACGTAATAATAACACCGCGAGAGA